TAGCGTCTGATGCAATTAGGATAGTAGATGATTTGAAATTTTCTGAGAAATGTTCTTCGGTTTTAATAAGGTATTTTCTCAAAGAAATTGCAGCATCAGACTCTCTTTTGAATAAAATATTTGAAAAGAAAAATTACTCACTGTATACAAATAATGGGGAGTTTACATGAATGTTGTCAGTTGTCAGTGATAAAATAAGCATATCACTTCATAGACATTTTGCTTTTAAAAGGTTTTACGCATCAAAATGTAGTTCTTATTTTGTTCTTTCTATTTATATGTTTTCAGATCTTTTGAACAATTTTTTAACAAATAACTCAATTTAGAAAATCGTTCGAAAAAATTTGTCCAGTCGAAAATGACTATTGCTCATTGTTATGTGTTCAGTTTTATTATGACTGATCATTTAGGGATGAAACTTTCTGTAGATATAGTATAGAAACTGTGTGCAATTTTAGCAGAAGTTGCGTCTTAAAAACTAACTTTATAAAACAGTTATACGCAAAATAATATCATCCGAAAAAGTATGTTGAGCATTGCATGTCTAATAAAAGTTAAATCTTGAACGAGGTAGATTGAAAAAGATCACCATTTTAGTCAGACATCTCTACATTATTTTCGATTGATATTAACAATGAATTTACTTCTTGTCGTCTATGAAACAGGCAAAACAGCATTTTTCAGCAAAGGATTCAGAACAAAAGGAAAGATCGTCCACATTTTCTCATCACAATAAATATAACAAAAGTCTAGTCAGCTCATGTTTAGCAATTAAAAAGCATATTGTATAAAGATCGTGTAAAATGAAAAATATAAAACAAATGAATAATTTGTAACAAGAAGTGACACATATCAAACTATCTTGCAATATACGAGAAGAATACACGACCAAAATACAATCGTAGATTTTAAACCTGGGGTGTTAGAGACTGTTTTAAACAATATCATACTCTGAAATATTTCTAAATACTTCTGTATGATAATAAAATCTAGTTCCAGATTTTTGAAAAAACAATATTTTTTGTTATGTTTCAAATAAATACCCGTAGCTACAGCGTTAAATCGTATTTTATTGTACCGTACGTAGTGTATAGCGAATTGTGACCATTCAAACAGACATTAGTTGAAACATTAAAAGCATATTTTTTATTTGTTTAAACAGGGGAACATATGCTCTAATCTATGGATTATTTAATGACATAAAAGTTTTTGTTTCTCTCATTATCATTGGTCAGAAAACCTCGTCGAAAATTACGAATAGTAAGAAATAGAAGCCTTATTTACTATGAACAAAAAAATCAAGAAGAAGAAAAAACTTCTGAGAAAATGATGTATAATCTGAAACTGCAACTTTTATTCTACCGATTTGTAATAAAAAAGTTTCGTTTTTTCCTGTTTGAAATTCGAAGAAAGTCATTCGATTTTAACGTCGAATACTTTTGTGGAATTATGTATTCAGTATAGTGAGTTTGCACTATTTTTCACAACTTCAAATTGAACAAACCTAGAAAACTCTCAGTTCTCAAGGTAAAACTTATATTTCTCGATCAAGAAACATTTTTATTGAAGACTAATTTCATATTTGAATCAGTATCAAATGATGTATAATTTATTGGTCTGAAAAAAAAAAATTCTTCCATCTATGTATAGAGTAATGTCGTTCACAGTAATTTTCTGAAATACGATCTAAAAGATGTATTGAAGTATATAGAGTAGAACCTTGAACCTACTCTCTCCTCTGGTCCTCCACGAATCATAATAGACGAGAGTTAGAAACTGTAACAGTTCATGACAAACACCTTTGTATTACAAATGTTGCAAGATGTTGTTAATATATAATCAAAGACCGTATATTAATAATATCTCGTTTTAATACATGAACTGCTGCTTTATTGCATTTGTACAGGATTAAGTAAAAGGAGTGTGAAAACATGTGTCTCAAAATAGACGGAAAACAACAGTGGTGCAACAAATTCAAAGGCTTGGGATTTTATATTATTGGGTTTGGATCATTTGAGACAAAGTCCAAATCCAAATCTATTTCAAATCCTACAGCTCTTGGTTACAAATTCTAAATCTATTCTAGATTTGTTTCACCTCTAGAAAAAACAATCTCTCTGAATAGCAAGAGCAGCTACATCATATTTCGCATTTTAATCTTACAGATATTGCGCTATTCTAATAAAAAGAAGAATTTTAGTGACTTTGACTTTTCAGGTTATAATGACATTTGAAATGTGATAAAGCTATATTCAGTACAAAATAAGGTCTCTCTAAATTCGAAGAAAAAACATGTCTGTCTAGTTTATGAAAAATGTTCACGCACTGTGTAACGATCATAATACCGTGTCTATCTAATAGCCGAAAAAACCATCTAAGATGTCTGTTTACTACTGTGCTGATTTGATTTGGGAAACCATTATCTCCTAATCGAAGAATAATTTCAAGGATCTTCTAGGACATTTTTGAAAGTTAGGTAGAAAGCTATTGATGGTTAAGTTTCGAATTCTACAATTATATCTCAGTTCTTTTTAAAAGAAAATTCGAAAAGCATATTACACAAATAGATCGATATTCTTTTAAAATTTTATTCTAGGTACTTGCTTTATTCGTACTGATCAACTTGATGGTGAAACCGATTGGAAATTACGTACTGCTCCTCCTGTCACACAATCTCTTGATGATATCTCTATTTTAGCATCTGATAAAACTCATAAAGTAAAAATTCATACTGAACCACCTTGTTTAAGTATTCATGATTTTAATGGTGTTATATCTTGGAAAAATGATGAACCATTAACTATTGAAAATGTTCTTTGGTCTGGTGCAGTTATGGCAACAGGTGAAGCCGTATGTTGTGTAATTTATACTGGTTCAGATACACGTATGGTTATGAATACAAGCAAACCACATTCAAAGTTTGGTTTAGTTGATAAAGAAATAAATAATTTCACGAAAATATTATTTACTGGATGTTTGATTTTATCATTTATCATGGTTACATTAAAAGGTTTTCAAGGATTCTGGGTTAAACATTTAATTCGCTTTCTTCTTCTTTTTTCTTATATGATACCTATTAGTCTTCGTGTTAATCTTGATTTGAGTAAATTAGCTTATTCTTTGTTTATTCAATTGGATGAAAATATTCGTGGTTCAATTGTACGTTCAAGTTCTATTCCAGAAGAATTAGGTCGTATTGGTTATCTTCTAACAGATAAAACAGGAACATTAACACAAAATTTAATGATTTTTAAACGTTTAAGTGTTGGAACAACTTCATATACGAATGAAAATCAAATTGAAATATCAGAGTTACTTGAAAAAGAATATACAAAACCTACTATACGAACAAATGAAAGTCAAGAGTCGATCGTTGCATCAGTATCAACATCCAGTGGAACACATAAAAATGTTAAAAAGACAGAAGCAACAAAAGCTTTTGAAGCTATAAAAGCATTAGCATTATGCCATAATGTAACACCTGCATTCAATGAGTCAACACCAACATTATCAGATGCCTCCGCAAGACATGATGATGAACTTCCCTCACCACCAGATACACCAAGGACAGGTGTTACATCATTGAATACCACTACTGGATCAGAGTGTATAGAGTTATTGCCATCAACAGGTTAATCGATTTGAATAATTCGTTTTTTTTTCAAGGAAGACAAGTATATTCCTGAAGTATAGATAAGAATTAATATCAGTGATTTGAAAAGTATTTCATTGTTTTAGTTTTGCTCTAAGTTATGAGCAAAAGATGAGTTCTGATTAGAGTCCGTCGAGTCTAAGACCAACTCGACAGACTGTAGTTCTAATCTCAGCTTTTTAAAGTATCATAGAGAAAATTAATACTGTAAATTCTTTCAGTATGAATGGTAGATATATGTATCACAACCTTTTTCTTGAATAGCAAAATATATTATACATTGTAAATTGTCTTCGAGATTAACATGCTTTGAGAGAATATTTAGGATATCCTCTCTTTTTTAACCACTTGTGGTTCTCGAAGACGATACCACCAATCAAGTTGAGATTTTTACCGCAGCCTAGAGTGCCCAAAATAAGGAGACATATGTTCATAGAAATAAATTTTGAAGCAGATTTTTGCCCCAAAACTCTGATTTTTCCTAGAACTATATCAAATAGAACCCCTATTGATTACAAGTAGAATACCTAAATTTATTGAATTAAGATGTAGATATCAACAATAGAATGATAACTATCTTATGAATTATACGAATAATAGAAATATTATACAATTAGAAATGAGCAGTAGCAAGAGAAAAATAGAATTAGAGAATAGATGTGGATGTTACCTAAGAAAACGCTCACAAGTACATATACACCTACATATTTGTTCTATTTTTCCCTTGTTGCTGCTTATTTCTAATTGTATAATATTTCTATTATTCGTATAATTCATAAGATAGTTATCATTCTATTGTTGATATCTACATCTAAAATTCAATAGATTTATATATTGTACTTACTATCAATAGGAGTTTTATTCGGTGCTTTTGGGGAGCAAGTGTTCCGGAAGCAACAGTGATGTGACCAGCCTCATTCTGGTTGCTTATGATTCCCATCAAACTTTATTCGATTGCGCTAAAAGGTTTTTTGGAAATACCTAAGACTATACCTCACACGTAATTTTAAGCCCTTCCAAAAATCGTATCTTTTTATGAAAGAAATACGTAAATGTTTCGAAGTTCAAATCGGAGTCTCGACTTTGAGAATTCTGTAGATTCCGATGGGAACGTTAAAACCGAAACCGGTAGATTTCATCTCAGTAGTAAAACTTTCAGCCTGATCCAACAAAATCAGATGCAGCTCTATGAGAAACTAGTTTCTCTGTAAAAATCTACTGCAAATTTTTTTCTTCAATACATGCCTTCTTGCTTTTGGTGCTCTATCCTTGGTAAAAGTTCCAGCTTGATCAATTGTACCATCTTTAAGAACTAGAAACAGTTAGAAAAAGAGGGGGGGCCCTCTTAATAAACTTGAACGAAAAAATAGAGTCAGTTTATTATTGAAATTTTTTTTCTTCAAAAAGTAATCCTGTTCTGAAAGTGCTAAATTAGAAGAAAGATCAAAATAATTTTCACTAAGAGTTAATTGATTTAAAATTGAGAAATATATATTTTTCTTCACTACTCATTTTAGATTCTCCAAAAAGTAAATATTGTACTGAATTGTTTTTGTTGCTATTTTCAACTATACTAACGTAGAAGAAAAAATTCAGTTTTTAAATATTAATAGAGCAAATTCAGTATCTAATTATAGATGATAAATCGAGAAATAAACTTTCACATTCATATGACTTGATATATTGAATTTATCTTTCAGTTTTTGTTTTATAGTTGTTTCTTATCAAGCATCAAGTCCTGATGAAATAGCTATTGTTGAATGGACTAAACAAGTTGGTTTAACTCTTGTTCATCGTAGTTTAAAATCTATAACATTAAAATTAAATTCTACTCAACAATTGTTTCATTATCAAATATTACAAATATTTCCATTTACACCTGAAACAAAACGAATGGGAATTATTCTACGTGATGAACAAACAAATGAAATTATATTTTATTTAAAAGGTGCTGATACAGTTATGCAAACTGTTGTCGAATATAATCATTGGTTACATGAAGAATGTTCAAATATGGCTCGTGAAGGTTTACGTACATTAGTTGTTGCTAAAAAATGTTTAACTAATGAACAATATCAAGAATTTGAACAACGTTTATCAAAAGCACGTTTACAAACAATTAATCGTATTCGTTGTGTTCAAGAAGTTATTGAAACATTAGAACATGATATGGAATTATTATGTATATCTGGTGTTGAAGATAAATTACAAGAAGATGTTCGACAGACATTGGAAGCTTTACATAAAGCTGGAATTAAAATATGGATGTTAACAGGTGATAAATTAGAAACAGCAACATGTATTGCTAAAAGTTCTAAATTAATTGGACGTAATCATGATATATATATAATTCAACAAGTAACAACACGAGAAGAATGTTTACTAGAAATAAATATATATAAACGTAAAACAGACGCTTGTTTAATTATTACAGGCGATGCATTACAAATATGTTTGTCGTTTTATGAACAAGAGCTTATGGAATTAATAATTCAAAGTCCGTCAGTTGTTGTTTGTCGTTGTTCACCAACACAAAAAGCAACTGTTACTAATTTATTAAAAAAACATGCTAATAAAAAAGTTCGAGTTTGTGCTATTGGTGATGGAGGAAATGATGTTAGTATGATTCAAAATGCTCATGTTGGTATTGGAATCGTTGGAAAAGAAGGTAAATTATATATCTTTTTTAAATAAATATTGTTTTTTTAAAGTTAATCCTATCGAATGAAATAAACTAATATTATTAGTAAAAGAATGAGTATACGTAGATGTGTAAGGGGTAAGATCCTCTGTCCAATGTTATATGTAATATAAAAGTCTGTTAGGTGCTGATTATTTATTAGATTTTGGCTTAGGTCTACACGAATTTTTTTTTTGATGTAGAGAATTTCCTTGAAAAAAAATTCAAATTTGACTTATTTTCTCGCAGTACACAACAGAAGTAGATGATTAGTCAACTATGGAATAGTATAAAATACTATAATAATCCATTGTATTCTTGATTATGAAAAAAAAAGAAATTCTTCATTGGAAAGTATCTCAATGTTTTCTGTATTTTTAGTATAAAAATAGTTTAATTCTGAATAATCTTTTCAGGTAAACAAGCATCTCTAGCAGCTGATTTTTCCATTAATCAATTTTCTTATTTATCTCGTTTATTATTTGTTCATGGTCGTAATAGTTATAAACGTGCAGCAGCTTTATCACAATTTATTATTCATCGTGGTGTAATATTAACTATTATACAAGCAGTATTTTCTTCAGTATTTTATTTTGCTTCTGTATCACTTTATCCAGGATTTTTACTTGTCGGTTATGGAACAATTTATACAATGTTTCCTGTTTTTTCACTTGTATTAGATAAAGATGTATCTTCGGAAATCGCATTACTTTATCCAGAATTATATCTAGAATTATGTAAAGGAAGAAGTTTATCATATAAAACATTTTTCCTTTGGGTTTTTATTTCTATTTATCAAGGTGGTGCAATTGTGTATGGTTCATTTATTTTATTTGATGAGGACATGACTCATATTGTTTCTATCACATTTACTGCATTAATTCTTACAGAATTACTTATGATTGCACTCACAGTACGTACCACAGTATTGCAGAAAAATTTAAGAAACAAAAACTTTGAAATGTTCATCATTAACAAAAATAACTAATCAGGGAACTTCGCGAAGTGATAAATCGTTTTTATAACGGAATCTATCTTATTATTGAAATTTTATGTAGACTAGAAAAAGTTCTAGAATGATTCATATCCGTTACTTTTTCTTTTCCAATTAGAAGCATTCTACTTTGTCATTGACTTGTAAAAAGATTAGATATGGACAATAAAGTTCTTGTTTCACTAGTGTCTTAATAAGGTGTTAGAGACGAAATTGAAAGAATGTATATTTATCTGAATATTTGTCCAGTGTTAGATCCGATGATATTAACAGGGAAAGTACTCCAACTGTTCATTCGTTTTATTTCTATGGAATCAATGCATTTTTACAGCATTTTTTAAATAAATTTCATGATCCTTCTCAAGAATACCACAAAAATTTGTTTTCGAATTTTGACTTGAAACGTTGCATAGATACAGACTTTAATGAGCAAATGTTATCACGAAGATTTCAGATCTTGTCACTTTTGTTGTCATAAGAGGACAATCGTAATAAATAGATGTCTTTTTTGTTACTCATACAAATGAACAGATTTAGCGTTCTTGTTTCAGAACATATGTAAATCAAAAGATCTGAAAATTTCATAGGAAGCTACTCTCGTTAAAGATTGTCTCTATGCAAACTTTCGAGTCGAAATTTGAGAAACAGTTTTTCTGATGTTCCTTATTGGGGACCGCAGCATTCATTTAGAAAAATATCGTAAAATTACAGTATCTCCGTACTAATAAGCTAAAGGCACGATGAACCCTTCACCAGGTATTCATAGTTCATTAGAGTCTACATAATGCACATAGAGTCGATTTAAAAGTGGTTTAACAATTGGAGGACTCCATTCGTAAGAATACGTTGAAAGTTTCAGCGAAAACGAGTGTTTCGTTACAGATATAATGACTTTCCAAGGCTGCCGATCCTTTTAGACCATCGCTAACATATAGATGTTTCTTTTAGAAGCTCGTTATCTCCATAACAAAACACATGTTTTCGCTAAAACTTGTGAGCTAACAAATAAAAAGTGCATACACTTCAATCGTTTTACCTTACATTTTGATTAATTACAAATAGAGTTCAGTAAACTCTGATGGCATGTAGCAATTGGAATCGAAACTCGATAGGCACTAATACAAAGGGTTTACAATAAAAACTCTGAGTTTTACTCTACGACCTAAAAGAGGCTCTTCTGAGACATTTTTGATTTTCCATTATTTAGATGCATTACCCTCCATTGTCTTATTAACAAATAAAGATTCGCATGTCTATATTATGTGACAGGAAGGGTACTTTAGTCCGCTGTAAGTTTGAGGTACCGAGAAATCTCCATTGTTTCGAATGGTATCACCATGGATCTCTTCTCCATTGATGACTGCGATCGTTAAATTGTCAAGAAAAAACTTGATTAGAGCAGAACATGCACTGGAGAAAATTCCAAGACAGCTCATTAAAATTAACCGCAGATATCGGTTTCAGGTGCTGATTAGTCCTTGTGATTAGAGTTCAACATGCTCCATGTGTGGCCAAACTATGAAACCAAAGGGTTAAAGTATAGGTACTTCTTGTCTGGTAGCGGAACTTTTTACGATCACTATAACTGTAAGTTTTCCAAGACTGTATTGATATCTTGTAACCTATTGAACAGACACGTTGTATTATTTGTGGATATTTTATTCTACAGTATAGATCAATAATTCTATTATAAAAGCTAATATCTTGAGAAATCTGATGTATCAACAACAATTTCTTGTTATTCTAATCTTATCTGAAGTGTATTAATTATTGTTTTTTTTTTTGTTTATTAAAAATAGATTCGAACATGGCATCCGTTAATGATTGTCGGTGAATTATTAAGTTTTTCTGCTTATATTCTTTCATTAGTTATTTTTAAATCTTATTTTGATGGTGCATTTCTTCAATCATTGTCTTTCATCTGGCGTGTTGTAGTGATTACCTTAATATCATGTTTACCACTTTATATTCTCAAATTCATTCAAATCAAATTTAAACCACCGATTCATGAAAAACTCACACAATATGCTACACTCAAATAGATGCTGCATATCGTTTTCTTTCTCTTTTTTATTTAGTATCCTTTTTTCTTTTATTTTTTTAATATTTATTAAAATACACTTGTCGTACTGAGTAAATAAATATATCTAAGCGAAAATCGAATTTATTTATATAAATAGATTATTTTCAATAGATGATATAGCATCATTTAATTATGTCTTATTTGCTTTCATTCATATCAATTTATTGAATATTTTATATGGGTTGTGTTGTTGACTTCTATACTTTATCATCATCACTAACATGATGATATAGAAGACATTCTTCATATTTGATCTATCAATGATTTTTTTTACTGTATTTATTATTTGCTAGTTAATAAATTTATGTTTAAAACATACATATACAATAGTGAGAACATCAAAAATATTCAACAAGGTTTATTTTTGCAATACCTTAAGCGTTATTTAGAACGCAAATAGTAATTCGAATAGAAAAAATAATTTTCAACATGAACATAAGGAAATAAAAATTAACCTGAATGTAAAAAGTCTTCGCGCAACATATGTTTTCAATATTCGTCCACTAATAGGTCGCAGGAGAGAATCAAAGGTAGTCAGCTAGAATTGATATTTCATGTTCTTTCTAAATATATAATCAGACTATTTTTCTGACATAAATTTAATTCATTAAAAGCTAATATTCGATAGGGACCAAAACTAGTGCTTGTACAGAATTTTTCATGTACTCTAGTTTTGCATTTTGATTAAAACTACGTTAAATCAAATTATAAGAAAATTCTCTAAAACTCAAGTTTGTAGAATAAAGCTTACTCTACAAAATACCCAATTTGCTTCTCCTCCTGCATATCGTTGCAAATCATCAGAATTTGTTGCATTTAAAATATCGAAATTCAGAAACAATGCTTTGTTGAAAAATTTCATCTCATGTCCAGAGTGACATGTCGAAACTTGTTGGTAGACTTCGATTCTTCTGAGTTCCACCTTTTTTAGTGCATGATTTTATAGAACATTAAATTCTTTATAAAAACAGAAAGAAAAAATTATCCCAAAATACCCTCTAAATAAATTGTGCGTATGTAAGTCAGAATAAAATTCTAAAGATATATTTAGAAAGACTATTGAATTCTAGTTCTAAGCAGCTAATTAAGAAGAATTTTTTTTTGTATTTTAACTATCGCTGTTTGAAACTACTAACATGAAAATTTTAGCTTCGAATACCCTCCATTCGAAAACTTAGCTAATAGCGACTTTTAGCATCAACATGTCTTAATAAGAAAAACAAACAGCAAATATTATCCTATAAAGTAATGTTTGCTTGCATTTCAGCAGATTATTCAAATCTTTTATGGAATGTACCAAAATATAGATCACTAGCAGCTTTATAAAAAAGCATGTATATAAAATACTGCATATCATCGATTTGTTGAAGTAATATAGCCCACCAAGGATGAAAATTGGCACAATTTATAAATGTATGATGGTTGACTTTTCGTAGTACATCTGCTGTCATTTTTTCAAATAAAGAAATCTCGTGCTGAATTTTAGATGTGTTATATAAATTTTTATTCTACACAAAATGATAAAAAGAATATTGGAAAAAAAACGGCATACGTGGCCTGAAAAGTGACTAAAACTGTATGTAACCCAGCGAATTTCCTGAACAAAAACAATCCTAGCTATTATTAAATTGGTGTTGATGGTTGAAAATGTTCATCTCCGAGAAAAAAGGACATCATCCTGGAAAAAAATGACATGGACTGTTCTGTGGGAAGAGGAAAAAGCTTTCGACCTCCGTTCATTCTTGAGAGAGGAGGAGAAATCTTCGAAAAGTTTTTTTTCGTGTAATCAAGTAGTGATCATCTTGGACAATACAGCTTGAGTTCCTAATCATAGCCATGCGATTGCAGCTGTTGATTAGTCATAATTTATTAATATAGATGGAAACATTCTACTATAGCATTGGGTACTATACGGCAAGTATATGAGGTCAAGTGGTTAATTCCATTCCACTAAATTATAACTGATAATAGACTTCGACCATATGGCTGTGATCAGAGTCTCACGCTCTATCGCCCAATATAATCATTACTTGATTACACGAAAAAAGATTTTTTTCGAAATTTCCACTATCATCACCCTCATGAGTGAACAGAGGTCGAAAGCTTTTTTTGTTTCTTTTTTCCATAGAACTATCCATACCATTATTTCCAGGCTGAAATGCTTTTTTCTCGGAGATGAACATTTTCAACCATCAATACCAATTTGATAGTAGTTAGGATTGTTTTTCTTCAGGGAATTTTGCTGAGCCAAAGGCAGTGCTAGTCACTTTTCGAACCAAGCATACCATTCTTTTTTCAATATTTTTTTAATCATTTTGGATAGAAGGGTGTGGGTGTGGGTGTTGATCATGTTCATCCACACCCACACGCACATCCACATCCACACCCACACCCCGGTCTGTGTGGCGACGGAGGAGGGGGGAGAGTACACATTTCTACTCTATATGCTTCAGCACTCATTTTAGATGAGCTATAGAGAGTTGAGGATAG